TCCCTATCTAAGTACGTATATAGTCATACTATAAAGCTAATATACCGCTATTATTACCCGCAACACTAAATACGAGAAAAATATGGGCTATTGGCTTGGTAGCCAAGGCACAAGATTTTGTGCTTGGTAGCTAAGCTGACACAATCCACCTCCACTCATCTCAAATAGGGTGACCACATTCCGAATATTTTTATGCATTTGTGGCATAATATATATATAGTACTCTCCACCTCTATATATATTATACTATATATATATATTACTAGGATATCATATATATTACTACTATATTATCAATAGTATATATATCAGTATATAGCTTAATTATATATTCTATAACTAATATATTATCATATATATGAGAGAAATATGTGGTATGCTTTTTACCGAAGCACAAATTTTGTGGCCTTGGTAATAAGTGGGCACAAATCCCGTCCACTCCATTCCAACATAGGAGACCACGACCAAATTCAAAATAAGTTGAGAAGTGCTGTGGCCTATACAACCATTTGACCACGAGTGGAGGGATTATGCCACTTACTACCAACGCACAACTTTTCATGGCTTGGGCACCCCAAAACCCATACCCATCCTTCTCTCTCTCTCTCTCCTTCGTCTCGCTCTCTCTCTCTCCTCTCTCTATAATATAATCAGTAGTAGTCATTCAATAGTATAGTCAGCCCTCTATATATACGAGTATCCAATATGACTTAAGCTTACCCTATAGCCCTAAATAAGGCCATGACCCTCCATGCGTGACTAGCAAACAGACAGTTGTCCTTTAGCAACGCAATTGTGTTTTTACAGAAGGATAATTATCTTTCGCTCACAAATAATCACTTTTTCGACCGAAGGAAATAATATTGTTTTTCCCTCGGTAAATATCAGTAAGGCTTCTTCTTCCGAGGAATATATTTTCCATCACAGTCAGACCACCTTCCTCTAGACGATAAATTTTAAGTTCCTGCACTAAGACGTGCGCATCCCAGTTGATTCTCTGGATCTTCCTACACTCATTTACCTCTATTACGCCGAGGAACATATGAGTATTTTTTGGTGATCGAACTTTTTCATCGGGAAATGGCACATTTACACCGAGGAGAAACTTAGATCATTTCATACCGCTGTTCTTTTTGATGGAAAATAGAGGAAAACCCGCCCAAATATAACAGCGACAATTTATGATTTCCTCCGCTGAATATCCATCAATCCTGCGCAGGGACCCGTTTCCTCCATCAAAGCAGAATCCCAATTAGCCGAGGAAATAAGTAGTTTTCCTCAGTTATTACGTGTTTGGCGGGAAAAATAAAACCCGCCAATTTTCAATGGTGAAAATTTAAAGCTTCCTCCGCTTAAAAAGTTTTTATTTTTATGAGGGAAGCCGTTTTCCTCGTTAAAAAGAGAACCTCATTAGACGAGGAAATTATAGTCTCTCACTATTACTTTCTGGCGGACAAAAATTTGGCAACACTGTAATTCCATGGGACCCGTATAAAAATTCCAAACCGGTTTAAGCTCGGCTAAAACATTTTTTCTTTTACCGAGGGCGTCACATGCTTTCTCGTTAAACAAAACAATTAGCCGAGGAAATCCATAACTCCACCATCAGTTTCCTCATTAATCAGTTTGTGCCGAAAAACGATGTGCCAAACCCGGCCAATCTTCAGTTAGGCAACCAAACTCTTAAGGCTTCAATCCGCTAAAAGTTTCCCTTGTTTTATGAGGAACCGTTTTGTCGTCAAAAGGAACCTATTAGGCCAAGAAATAATAGTTTGCTCATTGTTTGAACGATCCTTGGCCGGAAAACAATGTGGCAAAAGCACCCACCATAAACTCACACTCATTGACGACTTTATATAATTTTCCTGACATAAGGTCACTTCTCACTAAGTTTTTCGTGTTTACGAGGAACCTCTTTCCCTCGTTAAAAGAAATTAATTACGCTGAGATAAATGAATAGTTTTCCCCATCTATTAGTCTTGGGCGGAAAAATATGCAAAACCCGCCAACTTCAATGGCTACAAATGTTAGAGGCTTCCTCACCTAAAAGATTTTTGTTGTTTGGCCGAGAAATTCATCCTTCCTTGTTAAAAACCAATCAGCAAAGGGAAATAATAATATCCCCTCATTTATATCGTTAGCGAAACATCTTTGGTGTGAATTTGGGTAAGCCAAAGTAGGGCGGGTACTCAAAAGAGAAAGAGCCGGGTTGTCTAGTAACGCTCAGTATATGGATACCGAAATA